GGGGGTTGTGTCTGCCCCTCGGCTGCCGCGCGGGAAGCCGAAGGTAGGGGCGCTGAGGGCCGCCTGGCCCTGGAGCTGGACTGGGGGTTCAGGGCGCTGCCCGGGGCCTCCTCCCGCCAGCGGCCACGGCGCCTTCCCAGTAGTGTTTCGGGGGGTCCCCCCCTCCACGCAATGGGAGGTCCAAGTGGGCCCTGCCTGGGCTTCCTGGTCCAACCCATGGGCCGCCAACGCTACCATTCTCGCTCACACTATCTTTAGTGTCTGGAAGTGAGGTTGTGGGGCCCGAGACTGGGTTCTGGAGCCGCGTCTGTTGTTGTTTTCTTCCCTGTAACCTACTGCCGTCTTCAGCATTTCTCCAAGCGTCCGTGTCTGCCCTCCCTCCGTTCACCATATGGAATTGGGTCCCTTTTAACAGCAACCCCGCCTCTCGCAGACGCCCTTGTAGTAGAGCTTACAGAGTTTGCTGTGTCCCCAGTCCCCTAAGGAGTTTGTTCATGGTCCTGGGATTTCTATACGGTGGGGAAACAGAAAATCTCTGTGGTTCCGATTCAGACAGTATGGCAATCCTCACTTTGATAATCCAGTCAGAGGGAAAAGAATCAAGACATAACCAGCACATGAAAGGCTTCTTTGCACCTTAGGAAAAAAAGCGTTGACAAACCCATGTATAAGCTCAGATTTCTAACAAATATTTAAAAATAAGCCCAGCTGGCTTTCTTGCCTCCATAAAAACAAAACCACTAACAGCTGTGGGGGATAGAGAGGACTAGCTTAACACAGGCTAGGTAGCTGATCAAGCGAGAACAAAACCTCATGTTTTGTAAAGAGAAGAAACTTGTGTTTACAAACACTAACTGTTTTGACAGTGTGAAAAATGTTTTTTGTGTGTGTGTGTGTGTGTGTCGTCTTAACCCTCACCCACCCAAGTTTGTTTTCTGATAAAAGTATAGGAAAACACAGGGATTGGATAGGATTTTGGTGGGATGCAGGGCATGATGTTAGGATTGATGTCAGGATTTTGCCTGTGGCTTCATTCCACAACATAGCCCTAGAGTTATTATGATGCTGTTCCTACACCAAACTTTTCAAGCCTCCCTTGAGAGTGTTAAATCTGCTCATTGATAACCCGATAAAATTGACAATGGCAATCATTTGCTGCCCCCATTTTGCCGATGATGGGAATGGCAAATACCTTAGTAGGGATGTGTGGTAGCTACAGAATCACAAGTTGCCTGGTGCTGTAGGTTGAGTCCAGCTTTCACCTCTTTCCTTACTCTCTTCTGGAGGCCAAGCCTTCTCTGTGGAGGCCAACTTTAATCTTGGTGTGGTGTTTGATTGACAGGGAAAAAACAACAAAATGTACTTTAAAATTAACAAATAGCCCAGAACTTCATCTCCCAAGCGTCTTTAGAGCGTAGTGTGTAGGTAGGTGGAGGACAGTGGCATCATCTAAGTAAAATGATCATCATCCAAAGCAGTTCTGAAAATCTACCTAGGTAGGAAATGATCGTCACAGTTTGATTTCCTTTTCAATAGGTTGAAATCTTTGAGGGGGGTATAGTATCACATGGATTCTAAGCATTATCAGGAAGGTACCTCTGGAATTTGGCATGAGCTATGCCACTAATTCCGTGGGTGCGAATGAGTGAACCTTTCCCAGATTACCCTGGTTTTGTAAGTTTGCCACCAGGAGTCACTGTGTTGTTCTTGGTTTTGTACACATACGCACATCTCTTGCTTCAATTGAATCAGTTTCATCTCTGGTAAACACATTCGGTTTTAAGAAGAGCAGTTTGCTTCCTTTAGCTTTAGAGACCTTGCTTAGCAAAAGATGGCCTTGTACCACAGCTTTCCATACGGACTTCACCATTTAGAAGTCCCCTTCCCCCCAGCCTCACAGGCTCTTCCAAACCCACAGCCATCAAGTGGATTCTGACTCATAGTACAGTACAGGACAGGGACTGTTTAGTGGGGTGTCTGAGACTGAATCTTGATGGAGCAGCCAGCTTCATTTCCCCATGAGGAGCTGGGTTTGAACTATTGACTGGGTGGTTAGGAGCCCAATACTTAACCAACTGCAGCACCAGGGAACCTTCAAAGGCTCACAGGAACAGTTTAAAAACATTTCAAAAAAACGTTTTTTCCTCCGTAAATTTTGTTTTGCTGTTGATAGGCACAGCGAATATGCACAGCAAAACACCACTTTTAACAGTTCCTATGTGTACAGTGTGGTGACACTGATTACGTTTTTCGAGTTGTACAGCCGTTCTCACCTCTTTTTTTAATCGTTTTTATTGGGGCTCTACGCTGTTATAACAATCCATACATCAGTTGTATCAAGCACATTTGTACATATGTTGCCATCATTTTCAAAAAAGATTATGAAGTTTTCATTATAGTACAAAATAACAGGTGTTAAGCAATAAGCATATTTTTTTTAGTTTGTGGAAAACTTTCATCTCTTTAAAATTTTATTGGGGCTCATACAACATCACAATCCATCCATCCATCCATTGTGTCAAGCACATTTGTACATATGTTGCCGTTCTCAAAACATTTTCTTTCTACTTGAGCCCTTGGTATCAACTCCTCATTTTTTCCCTTCCCTCCCTTACGAACCCTTGTTAATTTATAAATTATTATTATTTTGTCATGTCTTACACGTCCGACGTCTCTCTTCACCCACTTTTCTGTCATCCATCCCCCAGGGAGGAGGTTATATGTAGATCCTTGTGATTGATTCCTCCTTTTTATCCCACCTTCTTCTTACCTTCCTGGTATCCCTACTCTCATTATTGGTCCTGATGCACTTTGGGTCTCCACTCTGCACTCTCTGATTCACAGTGATATGATTTTTTGTTCTTAGATGTCTGATATCTGATCCCATCGACACCTCATGACCACACAGGTTCTCACCCTATTTTTTTTAATGTTTCTCCCTCATGCACATAAACTCAGTACCCCCTGAGGTTCCTATCTGATCTTATGAGTTGCTGTTGTCAATTTGATCCCACATTGATAGTTCTTTTTCTTTCTCTTTTTTTTTTACATTGATAGTTCTTAAAAGAGCTGAAGACAGACCTTTTTTTTTACTAGTGAAGCCAAACTATTGTTTGGTTTTAAAGATGACTTCTGGGGAAAGTTACTTGATTAAAAAATGGCAGTAAAAAAAATCTGCCAGGCAAAACATCAAGAATTTCCACATGCATATTTCACTGACTTTGATGACATTCTTCACCTTGTGCCCCCATTATTGTTCCCCTTCCCCTAATGATTTCTCTGCCATTAACATGAACTCATGCCCCTTAAGCAAAAGTTCTCCTTGTCCTCCTACTCACCCCTGGTAACCACTGTTAATTTGGGATTTTTATATATTTGCTTGTTTTATCATAGTGATATGACATAGCACTTGTCCCTTTGTAACAGACTTATTTTGCTCAGTATGAGGTTTTCAAGTTTCTTTGATGTTGTCATATAAATCAGGGCTTCATTTCTCTTTATGGTTGAGTAATATTCCATGGTATATGTATACTCCTTTTTATTTATTCATTCATTCATTCATCTGTTGATGGATATTTGGTTGTTTGAGCTATTTGTGAAAACTTTTAGTTATTATGAATATTGGTGTACAGGTTTTTTAAAAAAAATTTTAAACATTCTATTGAGGGCTTTTACAGCTCTTGGAAACAATCCATACATCAATTGTATCAAGCACATTTGGGTGTACAGGTTTTTGTTTCCACTTCTCCTTTTCTTCTTTTGGATTTAAGTCTAGGATTGGGATTGTTAGGTCGTACAGTTCTGTGATCAACTGTCTGAGAAGTTGCCAAACTATTTTCCACATTGGCTGTTTTTCGTTTGTTTTTTTACCTTCCCCCATCAATGGATGAGGATTTCATCTTGTTACAATTCCACCAGTACCTGTTTCCTGTTTTGTTTTTTACAACTTTGCGATTCCAATGAGAATGAGATGGTATTTCTTTGTGGTTTTGCAGCTCCCTAATGGCTAGTGAGGGAGCCCTGGTGGGGCAGTTGTTTAAGTTTGGGCGTTGCTAACCAAAAGGTTGGCGGTTTGAACACATCACCTGCATCACAGCCAAAGAAAGATGGAGCAGTCTATTTCTGTAGATTTACAGGCTCGAAAACCCTATAGGGCAGTTCAGTTCTTCTTTGCTGTTTAGGGTTACTATGAGTGGAATTAACTTTTTTTTTGGTTTAATGGTTAATGAAGGAGCCCTGATGGTGCAGTGGTTATTAGCGTCCAGCTGCTAACTGAAAGGTCAGTGATTCAAACTCACCAGTAGTGCCCAGGGGGAACAATGTGGCGGTCTGCTTCTAAAGATGTATGCCTTGGAGATCCTGTGGGGCAGCTCGACTCAGCCTTTAGGGTCACAATGAGTTGGAATCCTTTGATGGCAGTGGGTTTGGTTTGGAGTGGCTAATAACACCAAGCATCTTCTCATGTGCTTATTGGTCATTTGAGTATCCCCTGGTGAAATGCATGTTTAGGCTATTTGCCCATTTTTTAAATGGAGTTTTTTGTCTTTTTGTTAATTTGTACGTTAAAAATATATAGAAGATACTAGACCTTTATTGGCTGTATTCTCAGGGACATTTTAAAACTATGTAAGTTTCATTAGCACATGGTACAAAGTTGTGTGTGTGTGCGCACGTTTAAATTCAAATTAAGCATCTTGCTAACCTGAATTGCCTTTAGATGAATTTAGCAGTTCTTAGGAAGTAGACATAACAGATTTTTGGTGTTTGATGAACATTAGTTTTGATTCTGCGTTTACCATAGAGTAGCCATATGACCTTGGAAATTTTCTTCTTTTCTTAGACTCAGTTTTTGCACCACAAAATTCTTTGAAGAGTGGTTAAGTAAGGCAATACTTGTGAAAGCTCTTGGAACATAGTTGGAATGCAATAAATGTTTGTTTTCACCCTCAAAGGAGGAAGATTTGCTATTAATGAGAATATAAAAAGCAATGACCGTCTCTAAAGTTTCAAGTTGTACATTTTCCCCAAGTAGGTGGGTGGCTTCCAGGGGTCCAATATGTGAGGATGTGGACTTTCTCATCCTGCCTCCTGCCTTTTTCTTCATTTGTTCCTCATCCTTTCCTAAGTGACACTGTTCTGCCTGCCAGTCTATCGGAGTAAGCCTCTTTCGAAGAGAGCTAATCCGAACACTTTTACAATGCCAGCCCCTTGGTTGTGCATTCCTAGGGATTTTTTTCCTGGTGCTCCAGCTGGTGCTTAGATCACGCTCTGTAGCACAGGCATCTCTAACTCCTGGATTTGGTGTCAATTTGGAGACCCGTCCTTGTGGAGCTAATCTCTCTTTCTTAGATGACTATTTTATCCTTCTCCGAGTCTGCCTTAAGCTGCAAGCCTTCGTCTTCCACAGCAGGGAGCTTCATATTTTAATTATATGTGGTCTAAAGGGGGAAAGTCCTGCCCTTCTCTTCCTTTACTTTAGTCAAAGCCTCATTGTTGAGTAGGGGAGGAGGAGAATAGCTTGTTGCCATTCCAGTGGGACTGTGGGTAACCCCCTGGTTCCTAAAATCAGCAATAACCGAGTTTGTCTTGGTAACAAAAGTCTTCCTGCTAAAGGCTTAAGCAGCTCGGGACACCTGTGGAAAACCTCATGGAATTTTCCTGAAAATGCTTGGCTTGTGAGGAGTTTACACCTGGCATCCTCACTTGTGTAATTTCCTACCCTGGTGACATCGAGAATCCAAAAATAAGAGATGTAGGCTTAACCTTGTACGAGCCAGCTCTGGGTAGTTCATACACAAGTGCACAGTTGGCTGTGCCAGTCCTCTTGTCCTCAAGTCCTGCCCTGAGCTGGATGTTTAACATGCTGAGAAGGAAGTGGCATATGCACTGTATGGGAAACATTCCATTCCTTGACAGAGGTCAGGGGCAGAGATTTGTCAGCCCAAGGTTGAGCAAACGGCAGCTGCTCATCTGGTCTCTTAAATGCCCTGAAGCCATGACCGCCACCATGTTTTTTGGTGTCACCTCATTTGTGAAATGGGAATGTCTTTGTCCTTCTCTCCCATGAGAATCATGAACAGCCATTTTGGTTTACCTACTAGGACAAAGGAGCTCCCCACACACGAGCCTTTCAGGGCCCAAACCAAGAGAGTCCAGGGCAAACCAGGACCAACTTGGTCATCCTACGCAGGAGCTTTATGCAAACGAATGAATGTGCTGTCCTTATAGAAACTAGGTCAGCCCTTTGGTTATCTAATCAAGTTCATCACTGGCTTTTTAGACATTTCCCCTTCCTCCATTCCCCTTTTCCCACCCTTCATGAAATTTTATTACCACAGATATACTATGTATGTATTTATTAATTAACTGTTGTCCTTTAGGAAGGCCACAAGCGATTGTGATATGTTTTTCCCCTTCTCAAGAATCCATTTTTACTCCCTTGGGGGTGCTATTGCTCCCATTGAGAATGCATGATCTAATCTTCTTATCTCTCAGAGATGGTCATCGGACCTTGTTTTCTATTTAGAAGATGCAGCTTTTCAATGCCTCAAACATTTGACCTGGGACCAGATGGTTGGTACACCCATGATTTGCACTTGCACCGTGCTGCCTCTCCTCCCCCATGAGTTGGCAGTTATCACTAGGACACTTGCCTTTTTCACCTTTTCTCGAGGCCTTCCTAGTGCCAGGCCCCGTGTAAGATGTTGGGGACACTAACGTGAAAAGGACAGTCCTGTTGTTGAGGTGCTCACTGAGTTGTTTTTCCAGGGTGGGGATGCGGTAGGGCCAGTGTTTTTGTCATCTTCTCTGGGTTGGGCCCGTGTGAGGAGATTGGCTATATATGTATATAAAGGCTGATGGCAAAGAATTTATTGAGTTGGCCTTTTGGGGAGGGGGGGGGCCCAAGCTGTGAATTTGCCATGATGAGTTCCATTTTCTAACCTGCTTTGAGCTTTTCCTCAGCAACAGATCATGTGACTCACAAGGTAAACCCACCAGGTGTATGCAGCAGGCCCGTTAAGTCCTTGGGCCATACGATCTTCATGAGCACAAGGATTAGTAAGGGTGGCATTTCTACTTTGCTTATTGAGATCCCTAATAATTTAGAGCAGAAGTTGTTTGTCCCTTTCTGAAGTGACTCCAGATTGTCTGTTTTAATGCCTGATGCTGTGAAGAGAGTCAGAAGAATTGGACTGTGGGTGAAAGTGGAGGTGGGCGTGGGAGGGAGGATTTCTACTTGGACTCCTCTAAAGGGACTGTTTTGAGTTTATGCTTTATAGTTTTTATTTTCTTCCAAACCTTAGACTGTGGAGATGTTCCATTTACCATCTGCTTCTCTGGTGCCTCTTGGGCCTTTCCTTTTCATAACTGAACCTACCGTTGGCCCGGATATTCCCTAACTGCATGTTGGAATCTTTGGGCAGTGTCTGATGTTTAGCTCATGTCACATTTCACATCCAAAGAGAAACTAGGAAGGTGGGTTTCTAAGATTGACTCAATCTCTTAGTGGTAACTGGAGAAGTTCCTGATTATGGCGTTTTATTATCACTTATTGTAAGCAGAGGAACATCTCAGTAGTTTGTGAAGTGATCTTCAGCTCTAGCCACGTTTCTCCACATTGTCTGTCCCTCCCGCTTGTGATGGGGAGGCGTTCTAGAAACTAGGAACAAGCCTGAAATACATCCCAAAGGCTTGGTGAGGAAGGCTGATGCCAGTGGACTTTTAAATGAGCCTTTCTGTACCTCTGGGAGTAGTGCTGTGCTTAAATGTCTCTCATTTCTGTGTAACTCCCAAGGGGGCAGCAGCTGTCTGACCAAATTCTAGAAAACTAACAGGCCTCAGTCCAGTGGAAGTACTGTAAAGTAGGACAATCAATACAGACAGCATTGATTGGTCATGTTAGAGTCCGGTGGATTGAAGGGATTGGAAGCTTAAGGGGCCAGCACCTAAGCAAGGCATTTAAGGGGGGTTTCTTGTCTCTCTCCTACCCTCCTCCCTCCCCAGTCTTATACTGGTAGGGAGTTGAGTGATTATATTGATGAAAAGAAAAGTTATTCTTGGACCAAGCCTCTGAAGTGTAAAATCAGTGCTTCTAGGCTGAAAGAAATCACGCTAAAAATCTTTATAGTTCCTCTCTCCAACCACTGGACTGGCCCTGATTAGCGCCCAGTATGGCTGTTTGTGGTTCCCTGAGAGATGGTAGCCCCTGGTGGCCTAGAGGGTTATGTGTTGGGATGCTTAACCACAAGGCCATTCTTTTGAAACCACTAGTTGCTCTTTAGGAGAAAAATGAGACTTTCTAGCTCTGTAAAGAGTTAGTCTCGGAAACCGCAGTGGCAGCCCTATCCTCTTCTATAGGGTTGCTACAAATTGGAATCAACTCGATGGCAGTGAGTTGTTTGGTTTGGGGGTAAATGCTAAGGAGTTCTGGCTGCTAATCCCAAGGTCAACCATTGGAAACAACCGGCTGACCCTCAGGAGAACGATGGAACTGTCTACTCCTGTAGAGTTACTGTTTCAGAAACCCACAGGGGCAGTACTGCTCT